CTGAAATCATTATTTTCGAGTGAGCTTCTGGCGTGTATAAAAGTATTTATCGTTTCAATTCCAAATGAGAAGGAAAGAGAAATAATCATGCGAATTCTTTTTTGTTGCTGTTCTAAATTAATCTACTAAGTTTTAATGATGACATGCGTAATTTAATCCTAGAGACAAGGCCTAAAAACTGTTGTGGATTTTACAGGCCAAGTCTGAAAACGGGTGTAAAAAATGAGGTGTTTTGGTCTGAAATAGAGTCAGGATTTGGAGAACCGGGCGGCACACCCCGCCACTGAAGAATTCTCAGGAGTACACCCCCCCACTCGAGTTATTTAAGATCTCGTGACGTCTTCGTCTCTGCTAATTACAAGTGATCGTTACTTTCAGCGATCTATGCCGTGTTTTCCTGGTATTCCAGGATCAAATGGTATACCGGGAGTGCCGGGCGTCCCGGGGCCACACAGACCCCAGGGAAGGGAAGGTGCAAAAGGACACATAACGCCGAGATAACGCTTTAAATAGGATTATGGTATCCAAGGTCCCTTCCGTGCGTCGAAAACAGGGAAGATGGCTGGCGGGTATAGACTTTGTTCATTTTGGTCTGGAATCATTGTCTTAATTTGAGGAAACTACGGGCGTGTATGAACGGAGTTATCCTTTCAATTCTAAATGAAAAGGAAAGAGGAATAATTATGCAAATCATTTTCCGTTCCTGTTCTAAATTAATTTAAGTAGTGATGACATGCACAATTCTTAGAGACAGAAATTCCTAGGACTACCCCTCTCCCCCACCCCCCGCCCGAGTTATTAAAGATCCCGTGTCGTCTTTGTCTCTGCTAATTGCAAGTCATATTTTCTTTTATTTCAGCGATCTATGCTGGGTTTCCCTGGTATTCCAGGATCAAATGGGATACCGGGAGTGCCGGGCGTCCCGGGGCCACACGGACCCCAGGGAAGGGACGGTGTAAAAGGACAAATTGGTGATAAAGGATCGCAAGGAATTCCGGGTCCAAGAGGAGACAGAGGGCGCGAAGGACCTCCTGGGAAGAGTGGATCCCGAGGAATTAAGGAAATAAAAGGTCAACAAGGACTTCTGGGAATGAAAGGAGAGCCAGGCATTGCGGGAATGAAAGGAGAGCAAGGAGCTGTGGGAATGAAAGGAGAGCGAGGCATTGTGGGAATGAAAGGAGAGCAAGGAGCTGTGGGAGTGAAAGGAGAGCGAGGCATTGTGGGAATGGAAGGAGAGCGAGGCATTGCGGGAATGAAAGGAAGAAAAGGAGACAAAGGAGAGAAAGGAGAAAGCGCCAAAGCAAGTCAAGCAAGTGCAGTACCACAAACCAACTGGAAACAATGTGTGTGGACATCATGGAGCGACACTGATAACGGAAAGATTAAGGTAATTAGAAAAAGAATCATAACACACTCCTAAGAAAATTTGTTCTTTTTTGAATTAAAATGTTTCAAAGAAGAACGTCTCCCCTCTCATTCACCGTTTGCCAACACATTACATAAATAACTATTTAGTTACATTTCCCTCAATTTTGGTTCTTTTCGAACGAGAAAAAGAAAAACCATCGTGCGTGAGAAAATGATTCCTGGGCATATGGATAAAGACAAGAAAAATTTAAGCTATTACAGAGTTTTTAAACATTAGGAAGTAATCTTGACTGGAGTTGTTAGTATCAATCATTACACACGGTTGCTCGCCTTAGCACAATATGTTTGATTTGTTTGCTTTTATTCCAGGACTGTGCGTTTAACAAACTGCAGTCTAATTCAGCGCTCAGAGTCTCATTCCAGGGAAACATGAGGGTCGAAGGTACTAGTTCTAAGTGTAATCGCTGGTATTTCAAGTTCAATGGAAATGAATGCAGTGGACCAATGACGATTGAGGCTGTTGTTTACAACTGGTGGCTATCTGGGAGCCCTGATCTGCTGCATCATCGGTCATTTGAGGGATACTGTGAAAACATCCCACAAGGAACTGTTAGAGTGGAATTATGGGTAGGACAGTGTAGTGGTGTAGCCTTGGGTGATGCTTACACTGGGTGGAATTCAGTATCTCGGATAATGATTGAAGAAGTATCTAGGCCNTTGAATTAAAATGTTTCAAAGAAGAACGTCTCCCCTCTCATTCACCGTTTGCCAACACATTACATAAATAACTATTTAGTTACATTTCCCTCAATTTTGGTTCTTTTCGAACGAGAAAAAGAAAAACCATCGTGCGTGAGAAAATGATTCCTGGGCATATGGATAAAGACAAGAAAAATTTAAGCTATTACAGAGTTTTTAAACATTAGGAAGTAATCTTGACTGGAGTTGTTAGTATCAATCATTACACACGGTTGCTCGCCTTAGCACAATATGTTTGATTTGTTTGCTTTTATTCCAGGACTGTGCGTTTAACAAACTGCAGTCTAATTCAGCGCTCAGAGTCTCATTCCAGGGAAACATGAGGGTCGAAGGTACTAGTTCTAAGTGTAATCGCTGGTATTTCAAGTTCAATGGAAATGAATGCAGTGGACCAATGACGATTGAGGCTGTTGTTTACAACTGGTGGCTATCTGGGAGCCCTGATCTGCTGCATCATCGGTCATTTGAGGGATACTGTGAAAACATCCCACAAGGAACTGTTAGAGTGGAATTATGGGTAGGACAGTGTAGTGGTGTAGCCTTGGGTGATGCTTACACTGGGTGGAATTCAGTATCTCGGATAATGATTGAAGAAGTATCTAGGCCCCAGTCCTAATGAGGGGAGTCCTTAACTTTGGCGCCGTTTTAATTTCCTTAGAATAGCATTCTACAAATATAGACTGTAAAGCGCAAGGAAGTTTCGTTATTTTTTTTTTTAGCCCTGTGTGGTTACTTTCGTCGTATTAGGTTGTCAATAGTAAACTCTAATAACAGTATCAAGATTTTGTATTATTATGTCGGCATGTTAGTCCTGTGCAGCAGCTCTTTGTTTTGTCACGCAGTGCTTCTCAAGCTTGTTTGTGGAGAGGCACCTTTCGTGACCACACAATAAACGGCTGAGCCCGTAGGGGATTGGTCTCCGATGCAGCCTGTCTTGTCACGTATCGCTACTTCTCGTTGCTTGACGAGACAAAATGGCTATGATTAAGAGTGATTGATTGGCGATACTTTTTGTAGATGAAATGTTATGGATGCAAAATATATCACTACAGCTTCAGGGGAACCCATTCTCTCTCGGGTTACCATGTATACCATCAGATTGTCGGTCGTTTCCTAAGTCTATAATATGTAGTCAAAGTACAGGTCGTGAAATAATCTTTCATCTCAACGACAAAAAAATCTGCGGAAGAGGCAACCGTCGCATTTAAAATATTTTCTTCTAGAAAATCTTTAATCCAATCCGAAAGTGGTTAGAGTGGAATTATGGGTAGGACAGTGCAGAAGTGGTTACACCTTGGGTGATGCTTACACTGGGTGGAATTCAGTGTCCAGGATAATGATTGAAGAAGTATCTAGGCCCCAGTCCTAATAAGGGGAGTCTTGAACTTTGGCGCTGTTTTAATTTTCTTAGAATAGCATTCTAAAAAAACAGACTGTCCTGTGCAGCAGCTCTTTTTTTTTGTCACGCAATGCTTCTTTAGTTCCTTTAGTGGGGAGGCACCTTTCGTGACGACACAATAATCGGCTGATCGAGCTCGTAGGGAATTGATCACCCGGCCCATGCAGCCGTTTTGTCTTGTGACGTACCGCTCCTTCTCGTTCCGTGACGAGACAAAATGGCTGTGATTGAGAGTGATTGATTGGAAATGCTTTTTGTAGATGATATCTTATGGATGCAAAATATATCACTAAAGCTTCAGGGGAACCAATTCACTCTTCGCTTTCCATTTATACCATCAGATTGTCGTTCATTTCCTATAAAGATGTAGTCAAAGTAAAGGTCGTGATATAATCTTTCATGTAAGCGAAAAAAAAAAATATCCTGAAGAGGTAACCTTTGCATTTAAAATATTTTTGACTGGAAAATCTTTAATTAGATCCGGAAGTGAAAATGATTTTTAAAATTAAATCGTTCTTTAATTAAATCAAACGGCTCGATTCCTTTTGTAGCCAAACCGCTTCGAGGCAAGATCATTATTAAAAGCGGATTAGATTTCGAGGATTAAAATCGCACCTTGTAAAATTTATATCAGTTAGCTAGGAAGATGAATACGATGATAGAATAACTTGATAATCTCTGGCATACGTGGCAAACGTTCGAAAGGGAGCGGGGGAAGGGAATGTAAGAGCGAGACCGCGCGCGAGGGGAAAGCGAGAAGAGGAACGCGTTCTCCTTCCTCATTCCTCGCGCGTCCTTCACGCTGCTCACGCACCCAAATCTCCTTTTCCTTCCCTTTGGAACGCCTGGCACGCAAGCTAGATTATCTCTCAAACAGTGGAAAAATGGAATGTTTTTATTCGTAACATTGAGATTCTTGTCAAACCTTTGTATTACCTTAATAGCATCTTTGTTTTATTTCTTACATGTCAGTTTAGTTTGTTTCAATGTGTCATGCATTAATTAATTAAAGCTTTCTATTAATTGTTTCAATAAAAGACAGTGTCTTAAAGTATGTACAAATCTTGTCCATTATTTTTCTTACAAACAAGATTGAACTCCTTATGTCCGCTCCTTAACAGAGAAATTCCCGTACAGTCTCACAATATCGATTTATCCAATGCAGCTATTTGCAGCCTTGCCTGTTCGAGCGCATTTATGAAGAAAGAAGGAACTTGAGGTTCCTAGAGTTTCTCAACTTAGAAAATGGAAGGGGACACAATCGTTCGGATGCCTAAATCATCAGTACCGTATGGGTATACCCAGTAAGGGATACCGCATGGGTATACCCGATAGGGGATAACGTATGGGTATTCCCGGTTCGATCCCGGTAGGGGATGCCCATACAGCAAGTTATATCAAGTTAAGTTATACGTAGTTATGCCGGAGCGTCGCAGCACGAACTTTCGTCAAGAGTACAATTCCTTTTAATTAGCAAGGCTTTTATTGCTTTGAACGTTTTTATTCCAAAGTTTAACTACTTTATCCTTTTCTGTGTTTTTTTTATGGTTTCCTTGAAAATAATGACACTTTTGCCTTAGCTTGATAGCAACTGATCGCCCTTGGAGAGTTATCTTCTGTATTATCCTAACCGAAAAAAAAAATACGTTTCCTCGATGTTTCAGCCAAAGGTGAACTAATAAAAGGTTAGAATGGCCAAAAAAAAGGCAGATTTAATAAAAAGTACAAACGTTAAACAAGTGTCGACCCTGCACCGACCCATAGGAACTCCTTTGATTTTTGACAGGGGCACCCAACGAGAAACGAGAATATAATTCAAAACCAGTCATGTCCAATACTGCCACACTGTTACGGACCGTTAAGAGCAGTTAACGGACCGTACGTTCTGCACACACCGTCACTATTACTCACGGTCCGTATACTGGCCACGTTCGGAGCGTGCATCTCATTATTACATGAGGGCACAATGCGTTACGGTTCGTTCGATCCGTACGGTCCGAAGACATACAGAGCGTGCATCTCATTATTACATCAGGGCACAATGCGTTACGGTTCGCTCGATCCGTACAGTCCGTAGACATACGGAACGTGCATCTCATTATTACATCAGGGCACAATGCGACACGGTTCGCTCGATCCGTACGATCCGCACGGCAAGAGAGGCGCATCTACTGTAATATTCCTCGTTCTATAAACCATAAACCAACACAAGCGCAAAAACTAAGAAAGGCACACTCCAAGTGTAATATTCCTCGTTCTATAGACCATAAACCAACACAAGCGCAAAAACTAAGAAAGGCACACTCCAAGTGTAATATTCCTCGTTCTATAAACCACAAACCAACACAAGCGCAAAAACCAAGAAGGACGCACTCCAACTGTAATATTCCTCGTTCTATAAACCATAGCCAACACAAGCGCAAAAACCAAGAAAGGCACACTCTAAATGTAATATTCCTCGTTCTATAAACCATTAACCAACACAAGCGCAAAAACCAAGAAAGGCGCACTCCAAGCGGGTGTATTGGACAACCCTCTTCAAAACCACTTTAACAAAGCATTGTTAAATGTATTTTAGTATTTAAACGGTAGATATAGGCATATTTTTATCCCCTAAAAATTTTTTATCTGTTCGGATTTCCTAGCTGAAAGTCTAGTGATCCGAAAATTATAGGGATCAAAAGTTACCTTTTCGAAAATTTCAGTTAGAAAAAAGGCTCCCGATGAAAATTCTAGGTGACCTTTTAAGAGTAAAAAATCCGTTAAAAATGGGCAATTATACCATTTGTTAGATGTTCGAAAATCCTAGCAGAGGCAGGCAAGCAAGATATTTTACAACAAATGTTCCGAAAATTCTAGATCTCAAATCGTCTTCCGAACAGATATTTTCCGAAAATTGTCGTTGGGCGCCACTGTTTTGATTTGGGTCCGAGGATACCTGGGACGTTGGCGAACAGGACGTTATCGAAACGAATCATGACGCGAAAAGTTTTCACGAGCCGAACCTGATACATTGAATAAAGTACATGAAAAGTTAGGCGTCACGGATCAATTAGAAAGGCTGGTTCAATTTGACACAGACCAGCCGTTCCTTTCGCCTAGCCTGGCTGAAAATTTCGCCTTCGGAGCGACTTTGGAACGGCTTTGAATCAGACGCCGAACTTAATTAAAACAAAACAAAATTATAAGAGGCTAATTGGATGGGGTCGCATTTTCACATTTCAATATAGTTACTAGAATGGGTTCGCACATTTTCGGATTTTTTGGGGGTAAGAAGTCTTCATATTAACGGTTAGCAAACGTACCGGGATGTTTGTACTGTACGTAGGTGAAAATTAAAGTGTTCTTCATTCGGTTAATTAAAAAAAGGGGTCAATTCATAAAATAGAAAGTGACTAAGTTGGGATCGCAAAAATATACTATATGATATGCTACATGCCATTTTTTTTTTCTTTGCATCAATTGAATTCTAAAAGTGACGGTCCAGGTTTGTTATTTTAGACATTATTTTATAAACATTGAAACTGGTTACTATCGTCTGTTTCTACGAACGGCAAGGATATATGTGGATTGAAACTTAGTTTTGATGCCATGCTAGCAAAAATCACAAGAAAAGTATTCTCTTTAGTGCTCTCTGATGAAATTTGTTTGATTTATATTTTCTGCTCACTGTAAAGGAGCATTTTGTGTATAGATAAAAGTACTAAGTAACGACTTCAGCACAGAATTTGCCTAAAACAGCAATAACCCGATGACGTAGCCCCTTTAATAAATAGACAAAATGTGCCATATATATCAATGGGATGTAAAACTTAACCCTTTTAATAAGTCATAAGAGTGACCAACATGAACTTTCTCCTAACAATATCAGCCGAATCAAGGGAAATGGTTATGACAGTTGATAAAATTATCACCAAAAAGAGTGTGGAGAATTTGTATGTAGATATTGGGGCTTAAAGGTTAATTCTCATAAGTAACAAAGACGCAACTTACTATTTAAAACACTTATGGCTTATTTGCTTGTACATGTATAACTGCTACAGTTCGCGTTTCGTTTTACCGGTATTTATGGCACTATAACTGTTGTACCGTTTTCTAAATGTACGGAAACTGGTGAAGCAGCAGTAACAATTTTGTTACTTCTTCGAATCTTTCGTTGTGAAAACGTCGTGAACCAAACCATGTGCTTAATTACCTGTAACGCTTTGGTGCGAGTTTCTCATCAAATGGTAAGTTTTTCAGAGCTCCTACAACATTTCAGTTTCCACCCCGACAGTGATTTAGTTTTTCTTTTGCCGAGGTTTTTACTAACAAGCTGAAGTTTTATTAAGCCATGATGAGATTGTGACTTGTTATGACTTGTTGTGTTGATCAAGAACGAGCTGACGTGTGCAAGTCTGACTGCCCCATTAAAGTTGTGTTTTCAACAATCTTCGTTTGTGTGCAAAGCGCACTTGTCCCCTGGACAGACATAAAATTGAAAAAAATAAATAATAATAAACCTTCAAGCTCTCAATTTTCTCATTGCAGCAAGCGTGGGCTCATTATCCCGCATGTGTATTTTGTTTGTTTGTTTGTTTGTTTTTCAGGAGAATGTTATTTTAGGCAGTGACTACCCGTTTCCGCTACGGGTCGGGAAAACTCATCGAGGATGTGTACAAAGACGACCTGGAACCTAGGGTAAGAGAAAAATCACATTCAGTTTCACGGGTTTTTTTGCCATTGATAAAACGCCGCCGCCGTCGTCGTTGCTTAAACTCCTTATTGCTGTGATCCGGAAATTTTGCTGGTTATATCGAGGTTCTTTTCCATACATTATACTATAATTGGGGTAGAAAATATCGTTCGTTATACCGAGGACTTCGTTATATCGAGTTTCGTTATATCGAGCTTCCACCGTACGAAAGAGAATGAGAAATAGGCCTCACCCCTCTTCCCAGGTTTTGACTTTTGTCCCAATTCGATCATTCCCATCCCTTTGAATCCCTCATAATCCCCACCACCTCCCCCCCCCCCCCCCCCCCC